TGATCCTTAAAAACGTTTTAATAATATGTAGCATTGGCAAATTTTTAAATTATATTGGAGTTTAATTATTTTTTTTTTAAATAAAAATTTCATCTAGAAAAATGAATAAAACAACTTTGTGTTCAAAATATATAGCAATATAATGGTTTACCAAATCCAATAAAATGTTAAGTCGTAGTTAGCCTTGGGCTAAATAGACGGGCATGTTCAATTAAAAAGGTTTTTTATTTTTTTTATTTTTTTTTTTAGTGTAATTTATTTCGCCGTTAAAAAATGTTTACATTGCATATACATTTATATAAATTGATGGCTGGAGCAAGAAGAAGACACATTTCGCCTTATCGCCGAGCCCCATTAAAAATTCTACATAACCGTAACAAAGGATTTTATTAGATTTCATTAAATACCAAGTTAAAAAAAATATAATATACAAAAGTAAAAATTGTTATTCTTTCAACTCTTTTTAATATTATTTTGTAAGTTTATACTTTAAAGTATAAAACTTAGATTTACGATTTAAAAATATATAAATATAAAAATAATTTGTTTTACTTAAAAGTCCTTTCATAAATACTCTGCCACTATGGGTTGCAAATTTTTTTTCCTGATTCCATTTTCAAATCAAAGCCTTTTAAGTTTTTCAACTTGTCAAAGTCAGACTTTAAAGTTCAAGTTGAAATTCACTCGCTTTTCGCATTCCGCCCTATATCTTGTAAAAATACGATGTAACCTATGGCTTAGTGTTTAACGTAGCAAAGGATTTTATTAGGAACTAGGTTTTTTTACCACAAATATGTCATTTAATTTTTTTCGTCTTTGATCTTTTTTTCAAAGTGATTTGAAAATATGTAGTGGTCAGCAAAATATTATACAGACGTTGTAATATTTTAAAATTACCTTAACCTAGGAGCGGATTAAGCATTTTTCGTCTTTGAGCAAACTCCAAACATTCATGTTTGTACGTATATCTAATAAAGATGTTTTTTCAAAAAATTGCGATGATTGGAGTCTGGGAACAAAACAAAATCTTAAAATATTTCGCATATGATTATAAAAAGTTTAAACCCAGCTCAATTTGAGAGGGTTACAAATTTTATATGGTCATAATTTTTGAACACTAAAACATTATACAATTTTTTTTAATAACTTAAGTTTTTTTTTTGTTTTGCTTTATCTAAATTATATGCATTTAAAAATAAGAAATACAAAAAGGTGATACAGGCAATAGAAAAATTACTTTTATGAAACCCCAAAAAAAAAAAAAAAATTGTGTATAATTTTATAGGTAATGACATAAAATTATACACATTCTTGTCGATCTATGATTATAAGATCAAATTTTATTCTAAGGCATTTAAGAGATCCTCAATTCAAGAAATTGAGTCTTGAAAAATAATCTTTATAATAACTACAACATCGTTTACAGACACTTCTAGTAAAAGATTTCTGAACCTTTTTTAACCGGCGCATATCTTTTAAAAGATGAGGATTTCACAGAGAGGTACAAGATTCTATGATAGGTTGATTATAATATTATTGGCTTTGATCAGAAGTTTGAAATCAATTCTGATGAAGGGTTTTAAAAGTAAGTAGAAACAAGAATGTGCCTTGCTTGCAATAAAAGAACAGTGATTTAAAAACTTCATATCCAAAGTTACGAAATTGAATACGACTATATCCTAAATTGAACTAATAAATTCAATAGAAGTTCACTGAGTAAGAGTTTTATGGTAAAGAACTGTTTCCATAGCGTTGATGAAAATATTTTTTGATTGCTATATTAAATTGCCAAACTTTTGATTATGTTGAAAACTTTTATAAGGTATTAATGAGGTGTATGTTGTTTCCATCATTGCTTGCTTGATATAACTTGTTGGCATCGCAAGCAACTTAATGTTGCAATCACCATCAATACATAAGTTAACATTGTTTATAAAAATTAAAAATAAGATGGGTCTCAAAACAGTCTCTTGAGGTATTCCGCACTTTACAAGAGTTTTGTTTGATTACGAGTTACTAATGCAGAAACATTGAGAACGATTTGTGGATAAATGTCCAATCCATTTTAGCAAATTATACTGAATACCATAACAATGCAGTTGGAGCAGTAACTTAAAGTGAGTCAATGAATCAAAGGCTTTCTCAAAATCTATATATACAACATCAACTATTTTATTGTTATTAGCAGCAGTGATCCACTCATTTAAGGTAGTCAACATCTGTGTACAGGTGGACCTTCGCTTTAGAAAGCCAAATTGATAAGCGGTAATAAAATTATTGATTAGTAAATAATTTGTAATACAATATGCAATGATTGAATCCATAACTTTACAAATAATTCACTTCATAGAAACAGGTCTAAAGTTTGTTATTAATGATGGGTTTCCTTTCTTATAGATGGGGCACACGCGGTTTTCCAGATTAAAGGGTTTTTTTGTCAAACAGTTTTTTAACATTCGAATAAGGAATAGCAATGGCATTTGCGATTGATTTTAAAATATTTCTGGGTATCCATCTGGTGACTTAGAGGACTTTGATGAAAGATTTTTTAAGGATAAAACTACAGAGCTGTTTGGAAGCATTACATTATTTAAAAAGTTTGAGTGTGTTGGCAAATCTAAGATATATGCAATACTATTATCTGTAACAAAAACAGAACTGAAAAAGTTGTTTAAAAGATGTGAATTTTTACAATCATCTGTGCTAAGAAAACCATCTAGTTGTAATAGTGGTGCAACAGAACTACAGCATTTGATTTTTGCCTTTAAAAAAGAATAAAACTAGGCAATATACAACTTTATCGACTAAATCTTTCTCTATGAAAATACAATATTTATTTTGTTTCTGCATCGTTTAAACAAGAAAAAATCTTTTATTTGATATGAATGGATGTATTACCAGTTTTTTTGTATTCTCTATAGAGAATGTGTTTTTTGATGGCTATTTTCCAAATGGCTAGAGGTTTGAAATTATTATTTTTAATTGCAATATACTGGAACATGTGCGGAAATAGATAAGTTTAAATACTTACAAACAATTTGCCAGAATACTTCCACATCTTGATTTTATTGGCAAGCACATAAGCAAAGTTTATATTTTATTAATCTGTATATAGCGTTATAATCACCTTTGCAAAAATTGTATTTAGTTGATTTTTTAATTGATTTAGATTTCTCTAAATTACAATCGAAAACGATCATATAGTGGTTGCAAGTGCTTGTAAATAGGGCAATAGCTTCTACATTAAAAATATTTTTTGAGTTTTTGGTTAGTATTAGATCTCGGAGGCTATTATGTTGAATATTATCTGGTCTAAAGCATTTGCCAAACACGTTTCTAAAAATAGGTCATGGGACGAATCTCCAAAACTCATTGGAATTGACCAGTTTATGAGTGATAGGATGAAATCACCTGCAATAAAGCAGAGTTGCACATATAAGTAATTTTATAAACATGCAGAGTTGCACTTAGAAGTAATTTTATAAATTAACTTACACAAAGCTTTGGTTCATAAAATACTGGTGCCAGCACATGGACGGTGATAAACGCATGAAAGTCAAACTTTTAGGTTGATGGATGAAACAAAAATATTGACACAACTAATTTCAGTATTTTCTAGTTTTTCTGGTTTTTCAAGATTATATTGAACTGAATGGATATTATTGTTAACTAATATAAGTGAACCACCGCCTTTACTGTTTTAATTATGTCAAAATACTTTAAAATTATTTCCATTTAACAATAATGAATCAGGTGTTTTTTTAGTTAGCCACGTTTTGGTTATGAGTATGATGTCAAAATTGCTGTTTTCAAGAAGATTGTGTAGGAGATATATTTTATTATTTATTGATCTAGCATTGAAGTAAGCACATTTGATGGTTTTAAAAGGTTAGTTTTGTAAGATGGTTGGTAAACAATTGGTGTTGCTGTTAGAGTTAGATTTGCTGGGTATTGCTATTTCTTGAGTTACTATTTCTAATACCATGATAAAAATCTTCATCTGAATTAGTATTGTTTTTCTCTTTGCACTGTTCTCTTAATTGTTTTGAATGATATCTTTCAGTTTGGGTTTGATCGGGGTTGATGTCTACTTTTTCATATTCTTTTAAGTCTCTTAATTTTTTATATTTTCTTAATATTGTATTTCTTTCAGCTTTATCCTTTATAATTTATTAATATAAGACTAACTGAGAATAGTACAAAAAGTATTTTATTAACTTATTGCTCTCACGTTTGGGGCCGGAGGCTAGGAGCGAAATTTTTTAGGCTTTTTTATTCACCAACTCCAATCAATTTTTGCAAAGCATCCTTTTTTGACATCAGGTTAAATATACAAATGTTAAAAGTTTGCTCTATGTCTGGAAGTTAGCTAACTTATTAACCAAAAAATGCTGGATCCGCCCCTGCCTTAACTGCATCAACTTTTATTATCTTCTTATTGTCCCGGCTATTCAAATATCTATTTATAAATTTTAGTATTGTAACAATATTTAAACAGCGAAACATACAGATATACAAAAATAAAAAGAAATCATTACACATTTTAACAATTTAGAGCTTTTTTGCTCATTAAAAAAAAATAATTAGTAGATCTCTAATTTAATAAAATATTCTTAAATTATACTCCCTCCGTTCCGAAATTTTTCCGACTTGCATTCAACGTAAAAAATATTACAAATAATTTTTCATTAAAAAAACGTTTTTTGAAAAGAATGGTATGCGGTAGTAAACTATATTATCGGCATAAAAATGTTATATTTAATTATATTATAGAAAAACGTCTAAATTTTATTTAAAAATATTAACAACATAACTTATTTTCAATAATTCTATACGTTGAATGCAAATCAAAACAGCATTTCGGACGGGAGGTAATGGAGGGAGTAATAATGTTTTCGAAGATTCTGTTTTTTAAAACATTAAGTTTAATTTATTAAATTTAAATTTGTAACGCATTAAAATCAAAAATGACCTTTTCATTTAAGGACTTAAAAAAAAACCTGTAAGAATTGCAGCTAGCTGTGCCGTTGTACCGTCGCCAACTATAGTGTGCCCATTTAGAATAATAGTGTCTTCATCTTTTACGAGTTTTGGCATACTTTTTAAAAGCTGACGATGAAAATTGGCATTTGATTGAGAATCGACCATCAGAAAAACAACATCCAATCCTAAACCATTCACATCTAAAACAAGATTTTTAACCAACTATAATATATAGATAATAAACATATAAATAAATTGACTTTATTTTTCTGGGATATTTAATAATAATGCAAAAATGTTTAATGTTTTTTGTGACTTAGCTGATCACAAATTATTTATAATTAATTCTAGTTTTAAAAATGACCTTTGAAAAAATGACCTCTAGATTCTCTATATACCTCTAGATTCTCTAGATCAATTTTAAGAATGATATCAGTATTTTGAAATGCCGCTTTCATTTATAATTCCTTAATAAGTTTATACAAATCCAAATACGATGATTGAGGAGCTTAAGTATTAAGTTGATCTTTGAAAGAGAGGCGTTGATGTTCCATTTCTGCATGTAAATTTTTGTCAGTGTTTTCTGTGTCATCTTTCACCAGACAATCAACACTGTTGTAACACCAGACAAGTCTTCATATTATCTCTATTAATTCTCGTGTCCATTAAAAAAAAAATTTTCATTCAATACCTTATAGCATTGAGTTTTTTCTTTCAGTTTTTAATGAGTTTATTGATGATTTAAAAAAAATATTAGTCTTGAACTCTTAAGGTGAACTAAACTATGAACTATGTGATTAAGGTGAACTAAACTATGAAGTAATTAAGGTGAACTAAACTATGAAGTAATTGAACTGTGAAGTAATTAAGGTGAACTAACAGTGAAACTGTTGAAACTGTGAAACTGTTAAACTGTGTTAAACTGTGAAGTAATTAAGGTGAACTAAACTATGAACTATAGGTGAACTATGGTTCTTCTGAATGATTTTCTCCAAATACCCTTTTATTTACAAAAAGCCGTAATACGGCTAATACGTAATAATAGCCGTAATACGTATGACGCCGTAATACGGCGGTTCTTTAGTAAATAATCTGTGTTTGGAAACAGAAAATTTAGCATCTTATTCTATTAAATGAAATGTGTTAATTAATTGAAGAAGATAATCACCAAGAAATGAATAAAGTTCAGAACGAGTTGAATGATTTCAAAACAGCATTTATTTATTGTAAAACTCAAAAGCTTCTTTTACTAAATTGAGAGAATGACATGAACATTGCAAGAATTTTGCCAGTCATGTAGAAATATAACTAAAGAACAGTAAAATAACTAAAAATGTTTTTTTTTTTTTTTTTTTTTTTGTATTAAACGTTTATCTATAATTATTACACGAGCGTTCAAAAAATATTTATACATCGATGTCAATTAAAAAAACAATTTGTCAACCATATTCAACTTAAAAAAAATTTCAATAGAAATAAACATAGACATTTTCACACATTATGCAAACTCCAAACTTAAATATGTTCATACCTATGCCAAATGAGGAGGCCTTGCAAAAACTTGGGATAGTGGAGGCCTGGGAACAAAAAAGCTCTTAAACGTTTGTCCCCCCTGCCCAAATGTTAAAGCACTGATATAGTAAAATTTTCCACTTAACTATCTTAAACTAAATTTAAATTTATCGACAGATTTTAGATTTCGTAGAAAAATATTGTAAATTACAAAAGTTATGATCATGCAAAATTTACACCCCCTCATTTGGGTCAGTTTTTTTGAATAATTTTTTTTTTAGTTTATTAAATTTGTAACATTAATGAGAAAATTTATTATTAGTAATAGTAATAAAAATTATCATGAAATTTTTTTACCTAAAAAATATTGAGCTCTTTGTAACTAATTATACTAACTATTACTTGCTACCACTAAAATATAATTTTAAACTTTTTCTTTAAGATTGTTGCCAAAAAAAGGACAATTAAAAAAATCTATAAACTTTTCCAGGGTGGGGTATGTCAGCAAGTTTTTTTTTTTAGACTCCGTACTAGCCTCAAGCAAGTTTTTTTTATAATAAATACAGTTTTAAATGTTGCCTAAACTACTCTCAAAGATTACACTTTAATATTAGCAAAATAAGTGTTCCGTTGGAGTTACAGAGCTCAAACAGTAAAAACACAGGCAACAAGCTCCAGTTTCTCCTATTTAGTTTCCTTATAGAAGGTCGATACTGTTGTTTAAGTTAATTAATAGGAGCCAATATAATATTATTTTTATAAAATTTTGTTTTCTTTAAATTAAGTATTTATTTATTTTTATCAAAAAAAATCAATACAATACGTAAATTTTAAGTTTCAAAGTATTATCTCTCAGCTTTTAAAAATTATGACAAATATAAAATTTGCAACCCCCTTAATTTCAGGGGGTTTTAAACTTTATATGGTCATATTTTTGAACACTAAAATGTTTTACTATGAAATTTAAAATTTTTTAATATATATTTTTTTATATATCAAGTTGAAAATAGAACAAAAAATATTTTATAAACTTGTTGCCTTCACGTTTGGGGCAGGAGGGGGACAAAATTTAGGGGTTTTTTGTTCCCAAGCTCCAATCATCGCAATTTTTTGCAAAGCATCTTTATTTGACAAAAGTATAAACATATAAATAATTGTAGTTTGCTCAGTGTCTGGAAGTTAGCTATATCAAAGACTAAAAAATGCTGACGGCGCCCCTCCTTTTAACAGAAATATATAAAAAAAAAATCCCCCTATAACATTGTAGTCTTGATACTTAGAATTCATAAGCTGAGATGAAATAGTAATAAAAAAATGTACATTTTGTAAAGAATAAAAAATTAATTTAGAGCCAGGATCAGTAGCAAAATCGTATCTACATACCCCAACAAAACTACAGCGTTAAGAATATTTTTTAATATTAGTTGTGGTGAAGATTATCTTAATATTAAAAGAAATAAAAAAAAACCTTTTGATTATCATTAGGATTATCTTGAATCATAATATAATTTTTTGATTGACACTCGACTTTAACTAACTTAATCAGGAAAACATTCGATTTTATTCTTTTTTATTGTATTGTTTATGACTATTTTCACTATTTTATTATTTTTGATTGTTTACGACTATTTTCTTATTTCCAAAAGGGTTGTTAATACTATTTTAGAAATTGGCATAAAAGGATTTAATTTCTTATCTAATAAATAAAAGTTTATATTTCTTTATAAAAACAGTTAAAAACTAATCTGTTTTATTTTTGTGTCCGCACCAATATTCAGGGCAATACTTGGAAAAAAATAAAAAAAGGGACGGGAGGGGGTAAATCTTTAAAAACTGCTGACTACTTTCTAAAAAAAAGGTTTTAAAACTAAAAATCTGTCGATTGAGATGTATCAAATGCCGACTAAATAAGTAGCCGACTATATTCATCTAAAAACTGACAATAAGTTGAAAATTTCTTTTGAGGTGGGCGACACCCCCTTTCACACAAACACACACCCATAAAATTACCCCGCTAATATTGTGTAATAGTATATAAGCTAATATTATGTTACAATATATTTGTACTTAAGTATATTATTACTATATTATTGATATCTTAAATGTAAGTAGTTCATCAATATACTTTGATATCGTAATTCATCTGATTTAAGTAAAAATCTTTTTTTTTTTTAAAGTAAGGTATATCTAACTCACCTTTTCTATTTTTCGCAGTTTTTCTGAATGCTTCTTGTGAACGATAACTGATATGAGCATGAAATTCAACGTGATGATTGTCTTTAGTGTATAAATCAACTCGAATAAAATCGTCTTTTAACTTATGTTTAAAGACACCTGATAAAATAATGTTAAGTTTTGTTTTTAATTTTACATAATATTCTTGGTTTTATTTTATCAGTTTAAGTTTCTGTTATTTATTTAATTTGATAATCAACAAATAGATGTTAAAAAGCTTTTTTTGTATTTTTAAAAATGCAATAAAATTATAAAATTATAGTTTATTAATCAGTATTAATGAGAGCAAATATATATATATATATATATATATATATATATATATATATATATATATATATATATATATATATATATATATATATATATATATATATAAATATATATATATATATATATATATATATATATATATATATATATATATTTAAGGAGAATGTACCATTATTGTCACATTTAATATAGATAGGGTCGGACAATTTTACAGCAAAATCATCGTTTATATAAAGATTTTTGGGATTGTCTCTATAAATATAACTGATGCTAAGAGTGGAGATGCTTGATGAAGAAACAACAAACCATCCATTTTTTGTAATTCTACCGTATTGTTTTACTAAACATTTCTTGTAAAACATTTTCATGTAATGCATTATGTCTGGACTAAACGCATTGAGAGATGGCAACACACACAAGCTGGAATTTCTTTTATGAATTCTTTGTAAGTTCTTCAAGTATTCTTTTATGTATTCTTTACGTAAAACTAACCATTCCTTAGATTTATTTTCTCTTTTTGTAAATATCCATACCAAAATAATGAAAATAGTAGTAGTAGTTATAATACATAGTTTTTTTTTTATTCGCATTACTTTATTTTTTTAGAACTTGTTTACTTTAAAATCTTTTCTCCGACTTTTTGTTTTTGGTGGTCGTTTTGTTTCTTTGTGTTTTACTCTAAAAAACATTAAACTTTAAAAATTTTTTTACAGAGTTAATTGCAGGGGCGTATACAGGAATTTTGTATGGGTGACACCGCTTTCTGAATACAACCCTCTCTAGCTAGTAGAGGGAAGTAAAATGATGGGAGGAAGAATTTAGGGGTGGAGTTACTTTCTCGTTGATGGGAAAAAAATATATAATTTTTGCAACTTATTGAATATAAATCAAGAACAACTGGTTTTTTCTTTATATCTAAAAATGTAGTGGTCTTAGTTATGATGGTGAATGACTAATGTCTGGAAAATTTGGAGTTGTTTTATCTAGAATTAAATTTATAATTTCATAGGTCTTTTTACTGTTCGTGCCATAAACTTAATTATTGGTAGTAAATCATACAATGTTTAAAGCGTCAGAAATTTGCAAGCTATCCTAATGAGTTCATTTTTTCTGACTAAGCAAAATTATTTAATACATGTCAAAATAGATGAGTTCACAAACTTGAGTGAAGAACATCTAGACCTCTATCGTCTAGATATTTTTCACTAAATTGAAGAAATCACAATGAAGATAAGAGTTTAATTTTACCAAAGATTTATTCTCATTTCTAGATTTTTTGGTTAACTTTATAGTCAATCGTGACCATTTTTAAGTTCATTATACACTGTTTATAGCCAAACTTTTAATATACATTAAATCGTAACATAAAATATAATAAAATAATTATAACATATTGAAGTCAATAATAAAAAAGTAACTAATAATAGGTAAAAACCTATTCTAAGCATCATTCTCTTGATATAGAAAGAATGTTTAAAATTTTCCCATCAGAAATATATTTAAAACATTGGACGGAACCACAGATTCCAAAAACGTTTACTACAAAATGCGATGTATAAAAATTAAAAAACCTCCAAAAAACTAACTTTTACAAACTTCTTTTTTACAACAGTTGCAGAAATTCATTAAATCCAAATTCTAGTTTAATTAATTAAATGATTTACATGAGAAGAGGTTATGCAATGTTTAAATCTAAAATATCAAAAGTGTTGATTAAGAGCAATTAAGTAACAGTAGGTATAATAAAAAGCGATTTTTTTTAGATCTGAAATTTTTGTTCACTCAATTTTCATTACACTGTTGTGATATATCAAACTTAGTAGAGAATATCAGTGATGGTATTGAAATAGTCCATTATTTATTTTATTAAACTAAATACACAATAAAATAAAAATTTGTCATAAGTTTTAAAACATTAAATTGTCATAAGATTAAAAACATTAGGTTTTGCAATATGTATCAATACTAAAATTCTTGCCTTCATTGTATGTGAATTTTTCAATTGAGTTAAAAACATCTGGACTGTTTCTAAACCCATCTAATTTGACCTGTACTCATTAATTTTGCTTCATGAAAAAGAGTGAACTTATTGCACATCTAAAACTTTAAACATTGCATGATTTACCGAAAACTAAATTAAGTTTTTAGCATACAAGACCTTTTAAATTTATAAATTTAATTATAGTTAACACAGCTTTTAATTTTTTACGCCTAAAAAACAAGATTTTTTTTAGGAAAAACTGCTTTTGGAAAAACTGATTTTAAATTTTTTTTTTTGAAAAACTGTTTTATGACAACATTAAAAAAGTATATTTCTATAAACCATAAATGAAAACATAAAAACGTTTTATTAGTAATAAAAAATGTATTATATCATTTATATAAACCAAATGTAACAAAAGAAAATATGAATAAAAAAAAATAAATAACTTTCTATAAATGCACTTTGCCTAACACAAAATAACGAATTCTTGTAAAATTACTTTGACTAATTTTCTGTTGATAAAAAATCCTCTTTTCTGAATCTGCATTCCTGAAATGCACATTACCTTGAGAATCTCTGCATCATTTAAGTCAAAGTTTTTGAAATTTGAAAGACTTTGTTAGGATAGTTGCGAAATAACATAATTAACAAAAACCTTCAGAACAAACCATTCAGACGTTTCTGTATAAAGCCTTTGAAATTATAAGCAATAAAAATATACCTTTAGTGCTTTCTTGATAGGAATGTACCTTTTAATTATGCAATATTTGCTTTATCGTTGAACTCTTTTTGATTTGGTAGATATTTGAAAATGTATTCTCACAAGTTATCAAACTCCATTATTCTCACTAATATGTCTCAACACCGATTGTCCTTGTAGCTCATTAAATGATCATTGATCGACAGCAAATTATACATCATTACTCTTTGAGAAAATTAAAAAAACTGTACAAATCAAATGCTTATTGGTCCAAAACTATGTCCTCAGAAATCAAACCTTTTTTTTAAAAATATATATTTTATATTCTAAAGAAATGAGGTCAATAATACAATGTAGAAAAATTAATTATCTTTTGAACAATATATACTTAAAATTATAAATATTAAAAAAACTTTATATATTAACAAAGTTATAGATATTAACAAAAATATTCCTCAGGTGTCAAAATCTATATATCTTTTCAGCGTTTCTTTTAAACACATTCTTTCAACAATATTTTTTCAACAAATTTTATGATTGCACTAACTACAAACAGATTTAATTTATGTATTTCATCATGACAGTAGACCACTTTACTGGCACGGACAACATTTTTGCTCTCAACAACTCCAAGTCACATTATGACAAAGTACACCACTTGGCCAGCAAGGTCAACAATCTTGCTGTAAACTAAGCCAAGTCACAACAATTTGAAACCATAAAAACAACATAATAACCACTTACAAACTATAAACACATAACATTATAACACATCACTAACATAGAAACACTTCATATATAAAAGATATTTACACACTTACAAAATATAGACCCATATAACCTTAACGTATATAAACACATAATAAATAGCACATAAATATAGTTAAATATAATATTAATAAACAAAATTAAATATCATTTTTGAAATATTTTTATAATGGCATACCTCGAAATAAATGTTTAACAACTTTAAAAAAACAAACGATCAATCGACCTGGTTTTTTATTATAAAAGCAAACAGAATTTTTAAATGCCTTTAAAATGTTAAACGATCTTGTTCTTGAATATGCAACATAGAGTTGACCGTGCGAGATGCAAGGGTTTTGGAGATAAACACCAACTTTATCAAGAGACCTTTTGACCTTTGAAAGAAGCATCGTCTTCTAGAGTCATAATCGTCTTCTAATTTTTTTAAAAAAATTACAGATTAATATACTTTAGATACAATTGAGAAAAGAATTGAATTGTGCTATTTTTAAAATGCATGAAATAAACAAATTACCTGACTTTAAAAGTTACTATACTAATTTAAAAATAACAAAAATATTATTCATTACTACAAAAGTCATCAAACTAAAAGGTTTTCGATCTTATTACTGATTAAGCTGATGTAGCAAAGTTTTCAATCTTGCTTTTTAGGAATACCTCATCGCGCGTTGAAAATTATTAAGAGAAATATTAAAAGGCAAAGCATACTGAATCTTCTTTAAAAAACTTTGTGTCAAACGCGCAGAAATGAGTAAGGAAGCAGCGGAAGTTGTTGTGAAGAAATCGAAAGAGGATGTTTGGTGTAGGTCCGTATGCGACAAAAACATACAACAAAAAAGAGAAAAGGTCGCTTTGTCTTTTTCTAAAATGTGCCAAAACATTTTGTTAGATTTTCCGTTTTCAAATTTAAAAAGGGCTGCTTTTCGTTCCGTTTAGGCGGGTGTTTAAAAATTGGTTTTCATCATCACTCAAACGTTTAGTGATGTGTGACAAGACAAAGTTTTGGCAGACTTTGCATAAATTTGTTTTGGTGTAAATGTTTTTATAATACGTTGATAGGGTGTTTAGTATTTCACCAGGTTCACTCGTCAATGTGCCGTCATTCTTGCGAATTTCGGTATTTGACTTGTTCCGCTGTTGAGTTTTTTCCAAATTATACAAAAATTTTGAAGGTTTTTCTCCTTCTTTGATTAGTTTTTGCTTTGTGCGAATAAATGCTCCTGGAAACTGGAACAAGAAAAGAGCATCGCGTTTTTCTTTGATGCTTTCTACATTCGAGTTAGCGTTTTGTCGCTCCCGTTGGATTTCGTTTTCGATCCTTTTAATTTGTTTTTTGTTATTCGCACTTTCCTGTATCGAAATGTGTTGTAATTAAGCCCTAACAAAAACTTTGAAGTCGTCTCCAGAGTTCCTAATAGACTCGCCAGTTCATTCGTCACCCCACTGCTTTTCAGTGGACGGTCCAGATTTTGTTTCCTGAAGGAGGATAAGATCGAAGGAGGACTTTTGAAGAAACCCAAAAAAATTGTCACGTTTGGTTTGGTCGTTTAGACCGTTTATGTTGCATGTTAAAATATTAATAATTATTTTATTTATATATATATATTTTTTTATATATATATAAAATATTTTATTTATATATATTTTTTTATTTATTTATATATATTTTTTTTTTTTATTTTATATATACTTTTTTTTATTTTATTATTTATTATTATTTTTTTTTTTATTTTTTATTTTTTTTATTTTTTTTTTTTTTATATTTATTTATATTATTTTATTTTATTATATAATTTATTTATATATATAACTTTTTTTGTATATATTTTATATATAATTTTTATATATACATATATATATTATATATATATATATATATATATATATATATATATATAATTATACATAATTTTTTCATATAATGTTTTTATATATAATTAACAAATATACCTTTAAAATATAATTATCATGTCCGTAGAAACACTGCGGACATTTTCTGTCAACTTTTTTGTATTAATAATGTATTTTGCCAAGTGATGAGCTAAATTAATACGCTGGCTCATAACTCAGAACTGAATGTTTAGTAAAGACCTCCTCTTCTCCGCAAAGCTTTAATTACAACAAAAATATTGTTATTAATGATAAAA